GACCATCCAGATTAGTATGAATATGTAGCTATGACATTTTGTGCACTTGTTGTGGTGAAATAGCTAGCCCATCCCAAGCTACCACACAAGGTTAGTTCGTTATCACTCANACAGTCCTCCAGAATAAGCATAAGTTTTAAACTTTAATATACAAAAGCTCTAATCCAAAACTATTTACAAGTGCTACTCTAAGGAAAACTACTCTGCAACGTCACTTCCTTCAATAGTCTGCTCCAAGGTCACCTCATCTCCCTCTGCTCACACCCACAGGATGATCATAGCAAAGAGAGAAAAACAAGGAAAACATACAACACAAACATAGATAGAAGGGTAAGTTAGAAGAAAAAAAATAATGATATATGAATATGATTTAAACCTTTCAGTAATATACATACACAAAGCATCAAACCAAATTAACTTTGTAATTGAACAACCCTTGACTCGACCATCCAGATTAGTATGAATATGTAGCTATGACATTTTGTGCACTTGTTGTGGTGAAATAGCTAGCCCATCCCAAGCTACCACACAAGGTTAGTTCGTTATCACTCAGCTTAGGCCAAGGAAAAGCCCTTAGGCTAGGACCTCCTACTATTCTCACGACATGTCTCACCCCTCTCTACTTGAGAATGAGTGACCATTAAAATGTAAGGATGAACTCCAAGACTACGCTTCCCATATTTATACTTACAAACTTTGACAATCACCATTGAGTAATTCCTCCTTGGAATTCTCTTCCATACTATTTTGAAATCATAAACCTTACTTTGATACTCATACACAGTCATACATTAACCACAACCAAGTCACTTGCATTATTTCAACCAATAAAGAACAAAGAAGAAAAGAATGCATGATAACCTGAAACAGTCGCTCAGCGCATACCCTCGTTGAGCGAATACAAAGGTTTTTCACACAACGACCCAACTCGATGTGCGAATAAACTCCCAGTGATACCAAATCCTGAACTCGTGCTCCGTGACATCTCTAGCTAAGCGAAACTCGCCACACAGTGGACCAGACCCTTTACTCACTCGCTCAACGCACCTATTCGTTATTTGAATAAAACTGAAAGTGTTCCAAGACTCCAGCAACTTGCTCAGCGCACCCTCTCACTGAGCGAAAGTCCTCAAACAGATGACCAACCCTTACAACCACTCGCGTAGCGCTCTACTCGCTCAGCGAGTCTACATGGTCTGCAGCACCAAATCTGCAGAATTACACAACATATACCAATTTTTCTAACTTCTAACCTTCCTAGATTGTATTATACTTAATTAGACTTAAAAAAGTGTTGTTAAACATTACTACTATCATTACAATTATTACAAATTTAAATATGAGATGAGATAGACTTATTAACTTATTAAAAATATTATATTGAAAATGATATCAATATTATGTAATTAAACTTATATCTTATTGAAGATATATTTTCTAACTAAATTCCTCAAAATTTTAATAGGTAGACTCATCACCGTTTTTGGAAAATGTTATTCCTTAAATTTGCACATATAGTTTCAAATTTAATTATGAAAAATCATAGAGTATATCCCAACCTCACTATGTAGCTATCATTTACTACTGGCTAGTGCTTTAATTGCCTAGCTAATGAGCTAGAAATATAATGTTTTTAATATGTGAGAAAAGGATATTTTTATTTACTTTTCCAAAATAACACTTATAAAAGAACAGAATATTTTTAAGTTGTTTTATATATAACAAAAATATAATAAAATAATTACACAATTTCTTATTTTATTTATTTTTATTTCTATCGAATGCAATATTTAAAATGTAAAAGACACGTAAAAGTATAATTGATATAAAATTATTTTCATATCTTGAACTTTATACATAAGAAATAAATAAAAACAAAAGTTCTTAAAATTCAAACATTTTAAAAACGAAGAGAATAATAAATACTATTATTTATATAAAAAATTCATACAAGATAAAAAAACATATCACATTCATATTTACAAATAAAATATAAAATTTAAATAAAAGCACAAATAAATTATTTATAATTCCACATTCATATACAAATATTTAATAAAAATATTACTAATTAATATATAATATCTTAAAAAAGTATTAAATCTTCTTACAAAAATCTTTTTTGTTAAATACATATTTTTTCATTTGGCTGAAACATTGTAAACTATTTCATTTTTCTAACAAAGTTTACAAATATTTTCATTACACACAAATACTTAAATTCCTTTTACATCCAACCACTAAGATAATATATATATATATATATATATATATATATATATATATTATCAATTTATATATTTTTATTCATAAAGGATTAAATTATACCATCAGATATAAAGTCTAACGTATTATTTAAAGTTTGTAGCTTGACGCAGTCTATTTAACAAAAAAGTCAAACTCTTGCTTTATGAAATCTGCTAAGTAAGTCGGTTGGTGAGCTTTGAAAAAAAAAAGTTTTACAAGGCTTCAAAGCCTAATTTGTTAATGTTACTTTTAATAAAAATACTAATACATATATATATATATATTATTTTATAATTATTATAATTAAAGCATCATGTTTTCAGTTTAAACTAGTCTTAGTAGTCATCGACACTATAATTTTGTGATTTGATTACTTTTAGTGCGGTATACTAGTAACATATAAGTCCATAGTTCTTGCTTCGTGTTAAATTTGTTAGTGTTAAATAATATTTATTTTAGTGATATGTACACGCTTTAATACATAACTCTATAGGTCTAATTTCAAGATATGTGAATTCTTTCACCTAATTAAGGTCTTGGTTAATAAAAAAGACTAATACCTGTATAGTATAGGTCAAACTTGAACAACAAGATTATAAAATATCTCAAAAAAATGTATAGCTAAAATATATAGCTTAATTTAACTTCTTTATAACTCTTATTTACTATTAGAACACTACGAGTAAAATGAGAAATATATTGTAAATTTTTTTTGTAACATTTTATTTAATAATATAAAATTATTAAATAATATATTATAAATTTTGATACATAACAAATAGATAGAAAGTATACAAAATATTAACACAGTTATTCATTTAATAACTATAATAACATATATGTACATAACAACTAAAAATTATAAAAGTTATTTAAAAGAAAGAAACCCTACAATAAAAAAGTATATGTTCGCACCAATTAATTTTTACATTTTGTAAATCCTTTGGGAACTTTGTATGTCACTTTGTATACCTATTTATAGCTATAATGACTTGTTTATGTTGGGGCAAGGAAAAATGGTCCAAGTGTTTATTGATTTCAAGATCCTTGATTTCTTCTTCCATTACTTTATTCAATTTAGAATCTTCGACGGCTTCTTATAAGATCTCGGTTAAAAAAATATAAGCTACAATGAAAATATATAAATGTTATGCTCAAGGGAAAATCTGTATAATAAATATAATTTAATATAGGATATTTGACCTGAGCTTTGACAAGAGTTACAAGAATATTATGATTATCCTTCAAATAAACAGGAGATTTCCTCATACGAATAGACTGTGTAAAATTATTATAAGTGCAGATTGTTTGATAGGATCAATATTATTTCTTCTTTGTTCTCTTCCTTCTCTTCTTCTTTTTTTTTTTCCTTCTTTTTTATTTGTGATGGTGTCATAATACTTCTTTTGAAAGTTGATGAGAAAATTTTCCCATGACACCAAGTAAAAAGTTGATGAAAATGTTCTTAGTGAGAATCTCCATACATTTTTACTTATTTCTTTACTTCATTCAACTAATTATCACTCTTGAATTCATTTCTATGATTACTTCTTTAAGTGCAGAGAACAAGTTACAACTCANCGACAATGAAAATATATAAATGTTATGCTCAAGGGAAAATCTGTATAATAAATATAATTTAATATAGGATATTTGACCTGAGCTTTGACAAGAGTTACAAGAATATTATGATTATCCTTCAAATAAACAGGAGATTTCCTCATACGAATAGACTGTGTAAAATTATTATAAGTGCAGATTGTTTGATAGGATCAATATTATTTCTTCTTTGTTCTCTTCCTTCTCTTCTTCTTTTTTTTTTTCCTTCTTTTTTATTTGTGATGGTGTCATAATACTTCTTTTGAAAGTTGATGAGAAAATTTTCCCATGACACCAAGTAAAAAGTTGATGAAAATGTTCTTAGTGAGAATCTCCATACATTTTTACTTATTTCTTTACTTCATTCAACTAATTATCACTCTTGAATTCATTTCTATGATTACTTCTTTAAGTGCAGAGAACAAGTTACAACTCATGATGGTCTAATATTAATTCTATGTTATCTAAAAACATCTTTATTCATGTATAGTAATAATGTTCATACCTAAATATTGAGATTCTTAAAAACTCGAGAAATCACTCTGATTTGTGTAATGTATTTCAATGTTTAGAAGAAAAAAAAAGTTGCGTTTCTTCTGAAGTTAAAACGAACATGCATAAGTTAGTTTGAATAAACTATTTCATATATAACATTTAAATTCTTATGTTTAATTGTAATTTTATATGAATTAATTTATTTTATATATTTTTTATACTCTACTCTCTTGAAACGTTTATAAAGAAGTTTGTTCAAACAATTTTTTATGTAAAGATTAGATGACATATTTTTCAAGACAAACACTATTCATTCTTAATTTGTCCATACCAATCTAAATAGTAACAGTGTTCCTTTTTATGTAATTAAAAAAATACTATTATTTTAATTTTCTCATATAAAGAGAAAACTCTAGAATATATTATCTAAAATACATAAAGAGGATCCATGGCCCAAATGTCTAAAGCTCAATTGTTCAATTTAAAAAATGTCATTAGCTACAAAATAAGATGTTAAATTATTCTATAATTATGGATGATCCACTTATGTTGGCTCGACCAACTTTAATGAAGAGTTCACAACTCATCTAATACAATAAGGCTAAAAGTATAAATTCGTGTATGATTGCCCGGATTAATTTAAATCCTCTTTTCTTCACAATAAATATATTGGGTCCAAACAACATGGTTCTTTTTATATAATAAAACAATATAGTTTTTTTTTTCAGTCATAACAAAAATATATACACATATCAATTTCTGTACAGATCTAACATAAATACACATTATGAATGTTCTATAACGCTGGATCTAAATTGTCCTTCCTGTTTCGCAAAAAATAAATGGAAATAACTACAATAAGACCTAGCTAGCAGTTAAACACTAAGATCCACCATGAAACTTGAACAGTGGAAAATAGAAAACTAAAACAACAACACAGATCAATTAATCTATCTAAAAAACAAATCAAGCAATTATATTTTATACTTTTATAGACACAGAACGAACGAGTTTATGATTATCCTCCCTGTCATATTTCTTCATTCTTTTGCTATTACAGTTAAGCAACTTGAACCAAAATCCACTTTTGCAGGCACTCCTATGATCATCATAGACACCACCTTCAGAATCTCTTCTTTGAACAATATCCAATGCGCTACACTTACCCTTTACCATTCCATGGTTACCACTGAGAAGAAAGATAGAAAGCGAAGAAGAGCTACTCTTTGCCTCCCCAGCGAAACAGAAGCAATGCATTGGAGAAGCATTGGAAGAAGAAGAGGCTGAGGAGTAATAGGATGAGGAATAAGAAGAAAGAGAAGAAGAAGAAGAAGAAGCTGAAGAAGCAATAGCAATAGAAGAGGGTGTTGGACGTGCGTTATAAGAAGATAACTGAGCAAGCTTTTCCCTCAAGCAAAGAGAACAGACACCGGGTGATTGGTTGTGTTTGGGGTGCTTCTTGCAGTGGCCATTGCGCTTCACGCGGCCAATCACACTGTAGCTGTCTTTTTTCTTGCGGAAATGTCGTCTTAGGTTTTCCATTTTGCATCTTAGAATGTGGGAAAGTTGGTTTGGTCTTATATAGAGGAGGTGGAGGCAAAGGGAAAAACGATGTTTGAGTTTGTCTTCATGTTCGTCTTTGTGTTTTTCCACCAATTTCCGTGATAGTTCATGGGTGCTTCCTTGTGTTCTTCGCAAAATGCTCCTTTTGACGTTTTGCTTTAACTAATTAAGAATTGTTAGAGAGATTACGTGGACGGATGTGATGAAGTCAAGAGGGGCCCACAGGTGGAGTCGGTGGTTCTCAAGATGTGATGAGTTAGTTGTTTGATCCTATACTTTTTTTTTACAATTTAATTAAATTTTTACTTTTGTAAAAAATAAATTAATATGATTTTTTTACTATTCGTTTGAAAATGTGAATATGTCTAAATCTAAGTTAAAATATGATATTTTATATTTTGAAGGTATTACGTATTAAAGTTAAAAGATTTTAAAATAAAAACCAGATTTAGACATTTAAAATAATGTTAATATTAATTTAATATAATAGATCATATTGAATTTTTATAAAGTTAAAAGACTTAATTAAATAAAAAAGAAATATAAGGAACAAAATAAATGAAAAGTTTAAATATAAAAACTAAATTATTAATTAAATCTATTTTCATATTTATAATTTGAAACTTTTTGTTATATTAATGTATTTTAAGAGAAAAATATGATAAAATGAGGTTTTAAATTTATCATCTAATTAAGACACTTACCTTGTATATTGCTCACTATATAAAGTGAATATTGTGAAAAAAAAGGTAATTGTGTACACATATTATTACTAATTTCTCAACACGATATGGAATTTTTTTTTTCTTATCTTTAAATGCATTTGAAAATGGGTGTTTATTTTTTTTTCCCTTAAAATGAAAGGGGTTTGTGTGAGGCGGCGTGGAAAAAGAAAATGTTAGGAAATGTAAAAAGGCGTTGGCAAGGACAAAATCAAACCACCCAACAAAGGTTTGAGGCGGTGCCGTTTTGTACACGTATTCAATAACTATTCAGCAAAACTGGTTAATTCATCTTTTTGTAGTTAACTTCTGTGACAAGTAGTCAAGGTAAACTAAATATACTTTTCAGATTCATACTT